AAAAGCTAGAGTCTCGTAGGATATATCTTCATGCTTCAAAATGGTTTTCGTATATCTATATATATGTCTATATGTATTGTATTTCAACGCGTTGGAGTGGGTTACCAGCATCTCTCGTTGAACAGATATATTTGGCTTTCAGGCACAGACGAGTAGATCACTAGAGTGCGCTAGAAGCTTGGGGCGTAGCTTAGATAGTTTTCCCTTCGGCCTGCGTGCCATGATTTAGTATTGATACTGATTGAGGTTTTAGAATTTAGCCTGTGCACCCGAGTTCTCTAGCTCGAGTGTGGCATAGCACCCCGTACTCTTTGTATCGTATCTTGGGATTTAATGAGATTCTATCTTTATTATATAAGTTTTTAAAGTCTTGGAAATCTGGGGTGTTACAGTCTGGGCCCTTGTTTCTCATCGCTTCTCGCCGAGTCCCTCAGTCGAGGCGATTCCTTAGGCTTTTCCTTTTCTTGGAAACGGTTTAGGGTCAGTGCCCCATTGTTTCTTTAATTTCTCGCGGAGTCCCTCAGTCGAGGCGACTCCTTTTGGCTTTTTTCCCGGAAATGACTAAGGGTCTGGGCCCTTGTTTCCCATCTCTTCTCGCCGAGTCCCTCAGTCGAGGTGACTCCTTAGGCTTTTTCTTTTCTTAGAAACGGTTTAGGGTCAGTTCCCCGTTGTTTCTTTAATTTCTCGCCGAGTTCCTCAGTCGAGGCGATTCCTTTTGGCTTTTTCACGAAACGACTAAGGGTCTGGGCCCTTGTTTCCTATCTCTTCTCGCCGATTCCTTCAGTCGAGGCGACTCCTTAGGCTTTTTCTTTTCTTAGAAACGGTTTAGGGTTAGTGCCCCGTTGTTTCTTTAATTTCTCGCCGAGTCCCTCAGTCGAGGCGACTCCTTTTGGCTTTTTCACGGAAACGACTAAGGGTCTGGGCCCTTGTTTCCCATCTCTTCTCGCTGAGTCCCTCAGTCGAGGCGACTCCTTAGGCTTTTTCTTTTCTTAGAAACGATTTCGGGTCAGTGCCCCGTCGTTTCTTTAATTTCTCGCGGAGTCCCTCAGTCGAGGCGACTCCTTTTGGCTTTTTCATGGAAACAACTAAGGGTCTGGGCCCTTGTTTCCTATCTCTTCTCGCCGAGTCCCTTAGTCATGGTGACTCCTTAGGCTTTTTCTTTTCTTAGAAACGGTTTAGGGTCAGTGCCCCGTTGTTTCATTAATTTCTCGCCGAGTCCCTCAGTCGATGCGACTCCTTTTGGCTTTTTCACGGAAATGACTAAGGGCCTGGGCCCTTGTTTCCCATCTCTTCTCGCCGAGTCCCTCAGTCGAGGCGACTCCTTAGGATTTTTCTTTTCTTAGAAATGGTTTCGGGTCAGTGCCCCGTTGTTTCTTTAATTTCTCTCCGAGTGCCTCAGTCGAGGCGACTCCTTTTGGCTTTTTCACGAAAACGACTAAGGGTCTGGGCCCTTGTTTCCTATCTCTTCCCGCCGAGTGGAAGGCGTTAATCGGTGGTAACCGGCGTTCTTTTATTTAAGTTTATAAATTCGGATACTCGTATACGGCTAACCTTTTACTGGTAAAACTTTTTCAAGTGGATGACATTCCAGATTCGGTCCACGGGCTTTCCCTCTAGGGTTTCCAGCTTGTAGGTACCGGCTTGGACCACGGCTGCAATGCGATACGGTCCTTCCCATTTGATCGCGAATTTACCCCCTTCGGTAGGCTGACTTGCCTGTCGGTCCCGTAACACGAGATCACTGACCTGAAAGGTTCGTGGGCGGATCTTTCGATCACGATACCTCTTCACGGCTTGCTGATACTCCACCATCCGGGCGTGTGCGGCCTCCCTTCTTTCTTCTAGGAAGTTCTTCTCAATTTTAAGGCTCTCCTCATTCTCCTCATCAGAATAGTTTCGGACTCGGTGGGTGGGTTCCATGAATTCTATCGGAACCTTGGCTTCAAAGCCGTATGCTAGGGAAAATGGGCTTTCTCCCGTCGCCCGTCTTTGCGTAGTTCGATAAGCCCATAGGACCCGGTCGAGCTCATCCGCCCAATTTCCCCCGATGTCTTCCAATTTCTTCCAGATCCCGTCCACTATGGTCCGATTTACATTTTCGACTTGTCCGTTGGCTTGGGGGTACGCGACGAATACCTTGGTGTGCCGTATACTATGCCGGCGGCAGAAGTCGGCGAAGGCTTGGCAGTCAAACTGTCTACCGTTATCGCTAACTACGTGCTTGGGCAGGCCGAAATGACAAATCACCTTCTTCCACAGGAAGCGTCAACACTGGTACTCGGTGATGGTGGCCAGTGGCTCGGCCTCAACCCATTTAGTGAAGTAATCGATGGCCACCACACAGAATTTTAGGCTTCCCGGGGCGACTGGTAATGGTCCCAACAAGTCGATTCCCCACATAGCAAAAGGGATGGTTGTGGTGACCGGCGTGTAGAAGGTGGCCGGCCGAGTATCCTTCCGGGCGAAGGCTTGGCAAATGCCGCACTTAGCTATCCACTCAATGCAATCTCGCATCATGGTCGGCCAGTAGTACCCCTGGACGACTAGTTTCCGGGCGAGAGTGTGGGCTCCCTGGTGGGTGGCGTAGATCCCTCGGTGAGCTTCGTCCAGTATCCTCTCGGCTTCGGGCCTGAGTAGGCACTTCAAGAGGGGGCCTCCAAATGACCGCTTGTACATTTGCCCGTCAATGATCTGGAATGAAGGGGCTTTTCGTCGAATCCTTGCGGCGACTCCTTAGTCATCTGGCAATTCGCCCGTTTCCTTAAACCACCGGATGTCTTCTATCCAAAACATCTCGGGGTTTTTCTCTCGATCCCATTCCTCGATAAGTACCTGTTGGACCTCCAACGGTGTCTCCCCTATACTTGGACGACTTAATTCTTCCTTTTGGCAAATCTTGGCGAGGTGATCCGGTATTCCCTCTAAGGCAATTTTTGATAATATGTCGGCCTCGATGTTGTCCGCCCGGGAAATATGCTCTATTTCATATGTTTCGATTTCCTTCAGCCTTTCTATCGCCTTCTCCTTATACTGGGTCATCCGGGCGTTCTTAGCTTTGCAGGTGCCGGAGATTTGTCCGGCCACTAACCGGGAGTCAGTTTTGATTCGCAATCGTTCTACTCCCAGCGTTTTGGCGAGTCGAAGGCCGCCCAACACAGCCTCATACTCTGCTTCATTATTAGATGTCAGGAACAAATAGCTCAGGGCGTAGTAGAGTCGGAATCCCTTTGGAGTGATTAGCATGACTCCGCCTCCACAGTGTTGTCGACTTGCCGCTCCATCCGCGTGCATCTCCCACCACTCGCCTGAACTGTCTTCCGTGGTGCGCTCTTTCTCTTCTTCCCCTACCGTACACTCGACCAAGAAATTGGCCAAGGCTTGCCCTTTTATGGACGGTCGCGGTTGATACTCGATCCCGTACTGGGTTAATTCCACGGCCCATTTCACCAGTCGACCTGACGACGTGGGGTTCCGCAGTACATTCCCTAGCGGTTGGTCGGTCAGTACCCGGACGGTATGGGCTTGAAAATAGGGCGCTAACTTGCGCACGGTGATTACTAGCGCGTAGACAATTTTTTCCAAGGCCGTGTACCGTGTCTCGGCGGCTTTCAGGGAGCAGCTTACGTAGTACACCGGGTGCTAGGTACGCTCTTCTTCCCAGACCAGTACCGAGCTTACTGCCTTAGGGGAGGCGGCTAAGTACAAACACAAAGGCTCACCCACCTGTGGGGTAGACAACACCGGAGGTGTGGAAAGATACTGTTTCAACTCTTCGAACGACTGTTGGCACTCGGTCGTCCAGGCAAAGCCTTCCTTCTTCTTCATAACCTCGAAGAACGGTATAGTTTTATCTGCCGCCTTGCTCAGGAAGTGACTGAGGGCAGCCAGTCAACCAGTCAACCGTTGTAAATCTTTGACGGTGCTGGGAGACTGCATATCGATGATGGCATGGACCTTCTCAGGGTTGGGCTCGATGCCTCGCTTGGTCACCATGTACCCTAAGAACTTCCCGCCTTGCACCGCGAAGGCACATTTCTTCGGGTTCAGTCGGAGATTATACCGTAGCATCACTTGGAAGTAATCGGCCAAATCTTCCGCGTGCATGGCCTCTTCTCGGCTTTTGACTAACATGTCGTCTACATAGGCTGCCATGGACTTCCCCAGCAGGTCTTGGAATAGCCGGGCTACCATCCGAGTGTAAGTAGCCCCAGCATTCTTGAGTCCGAACGGGATAACTCGGTAACAATATACCCCGTCTGGTGTGAGGAACGCGATTTTCTCCTCGTCGACCGGGTGCATAAAAATCTGATGATACCCCCTAAAGGCGTCCATGAAGCTCAGCAGAGCCGACCCTGCTGTCTCGTCGACCAGCTGATCGATCCGTGGCAAGGGGAACAGATCCTTTGGGCAGGCTTTGTTAAGATCCGTATAATCCACGCACATCCGTCAGGCTGGGGGTTTCGGCATGAGGACCACGTTTGCCAACCACTCTGGGTATTTTACCTCTCGGATGTGGCCCGCGGCTAGCAGCGTGCTCACCTCTTTCTTTATGAATTCCCTTCGGTCGTTGGCGAGATACCATTTTTTCTGTACGACCGGCCGATGGTCCGGATCCACGGCGAGTCGATGGGCGATGATGGACCGGTCGACGCCTGGCATATCCTCTGGCCCCTAGGAAAAGATTAGCCCGTGCTCTCGGAGTACTTTTATAATTCCCTTTCGAATCTCCTCAGGGAGACCGACCCCAATTCTGACCCGCCTGTCCGGCCGTCCAGGGTCGATCTCGACCTCTTCCAATTTCACGGCCGGTTCCGGGCGGGGTATCATTGCTTTCTTTGGGGGATTTTCCGTGATTTTGTGGACTTGCATTTCACGCTTGCCCATCCCCTTGCAGGCCTGTAGATAGCAGTCGCGGGCGAGTCTTCGGTCGCAACGTACCGTGCCTATCCCGCTCGGCGTGCGGAATTTCAGGCAGAGGTGCTCGATGGCGATCAGTGCTCCTAGATCCTCCAGGCCTGGTCGGCCGAGTATAACATTGTTGAGCAGACTAAGTCCACCACGATGAATTTCATGTTGAGCTTCTGTACGTCGGGGTAGCTGCCGACTTCCACCGGTAAGGTAATGGATCCCTCTGCCTCCATCGAGTCTCTGGTGAAACCGGTGAGTGGTGTCTTGACCAGATTCAGCTGTTCTCGGGTTAATCCCATTTTTGTGAAAGTATCGAGGTATAGCACGTTGACACTGCTCCCAGTGTCTACCAGGATTCGTCGGATGACTACCCCATTTACGTCCATCGCTATGACCAGGGCATCTCGATGTGGTGTCTCCCCCGTGGGTAGGTCTTTGTCAGTGAACATGATGGGCTCCCGGCACACTTTCTTCGAACCTTCTTCGCGCCCGTATACGATACCGACATAAAGTTGCCGAGCCCAGGCCTTTCTAGTGTTCGTCGAGTCACCCCCCTCTGGCCCGCCGACTATCATGTTAATAACCGGCTTCTGACGCCATTGGGCCTCATCCTCCTCAATCACGGGCTGCTTGCTGCGGCTGCTCTCGGCGGCAACTACGGGGTCACTGTCCTCCCAGGCCGCCGACCTTCTCCTCCATTGATTAGGAGGCGGGGTCCCTTGTTGGATGATTCCCTCCATGATCTTCTTCAAGTAAAAGCACTCTTCCGTGCTGTGAGTGTAAGATTTATGATAACGGCAGTACTTAGAAACCTTACCTGTCTCCTCGTTGGTCACGCGATCGTCAGTTGGCGGGGGTGGAGGTGGAGCGACTGCTTGTACCTCGTGTACCGGGGGTTGAGGAGCCGGTCTATAGGGATGAACGATAGGCTTGTCATAGGGACGCCTAACTTCGGGTCGCCGAGCCCCTTCCGGGCGTCTTTCCTTGGTTTCCGCATGGGTCCTCTTTCCACCGGTGGATCCTCCGACTTCGCGCTGCCGTTTATGCTTCATGGCCTGCTCCGTGTTAGCCCTCTTATTAGCCATATGCATGGCTTCCACGTAGGTGGCCGTGCGATTATCCCGCAAATCCCGGTATAACTGCCCGGATCGCAAGGACTCGATGAAGAAAGTGAGTGCGGTCTGGTCTTCGACCTCCTCGATAGACTGGATCTCCTTTTGCCATCGAACCAAGTAGGTTTTCAAGGACTCACCTTCTTCTTGGTTGACGTCTCCCAGATGGGTCAAATCCTTCTGTGGTTTGATGTTGGCCGCATAATGGCTCATGAAGCGATCGGTAAACTCCTCGAAATTGTGGATCGATCCTGGAGGCAGCGCCACCAACCATCTTTGTGCCGAGCCTTTCAGCGTGGGCAGGAAGGCGCGACACATTACCGGGTCTCGGACTCCTAAGACTTGCATCTTGGCCTGATAACTGAGCAGATGCTCGCGTGGGTCTCCGGACCCGTCAAAGGTGGCCTGTTCCAGGAATTTGAAGTCGCCGGGCACTTTATAAGACATGATCTCAAAGGAGAAGGGAAAAGCGGTGAGCAACGTTTGCCCGGCGGATTTAGTCCTTCCCCCCATTTGTTCCTTCAGATCTCGTACCTCTCGGGCCAATTGGGCCACATCGCCTCTATGGCGAGTATGGTTCCCTGTGGATTCGGTACTCTCGCCGACTTCCGATTCAGCTGTGGGCCGAGTCCTCTTAAATGAGGCTCTTCAATGTTCCTTAACAGCTCAGGGTCGAGTCTCTATCCGTGCTCGGGCCTAGGCCGACTCCTGGACTCGGCCCAAGCTTTCCACTAGGCTTCTTTCGCTGCTGGCCCACATCTTCTTTCTTGGACTCCTCTCTTGGGCCCATCTTCTTGGGCTGGGGTTCTCCCCCCATCACTATCAATGGTTGGTCGAAAATTCCATCCAACAGTTAGAAGGAAAACTACAAAAAAAAAAAAAAAAAAAAAAAAAAAAAAAAAAAAAAAAAAGACTAAGGGAATTTTCCGTCCAAATATTGGTTAAATTTTCGACCAACACAAAAAGTTGGTTGAAAATGATGAGATAAAATAATGGTGCGTTATCCTCCATATTTTTTGTCCAACATTGCACTGTTAGATGCTATTTTCGACCAACAATTGATATTGGACAGATATTTCGACGGTATCTTTTTCGGATCTCCATTTTAATCGGTATTATATATTGGTCTAAAATTCTTTTACCAACCAAAACGCCTATTTATTGTCCAATTTCCGTTGATCGGAAACTGCGTGATTTCCAACCATGTTTGAAAATGTTTCTAGAAATGTTAACATATTGTTCAAAAAATCTTTTACGTACTTGGATAGTTGGCCTAAATAAATGTTTTATTGACTCTTTCATTTATTAGAATTTTTTGACTATTCAATACTATAATTTATTTTTAGGGAAAATGACACTTTTTCCCCCTATGTTGTTTGGTTATAGCACATTTTCCCCTGTGTTATTTATGTAGCCACTTTATCCACCTCAATTATTTTTAAAGTGGCTATTTCTCCTCTCCATTAACTAAATGTTTAGACTCTTAAAAGTAAAGATAAAAATGGTATTTCACTTTTTCTTTATTTTTTATTCTTTTTCTTTATTCTTGAAACCTTATATCTTTATCCTTTCAAAAAAAAAAAAAGAAAAAAAACCTTATATCTTTATCTTTAAAGCCCAATCTGAAGAACCCAAAAGTAGTTTTGATACTTTTATGGTTTCAGTGGCAACCGAATAGGGCAATTTATATCCTACACCACGGCGCGCGTTGCACTATGCGCCCAGATGCAAAACAATGTCGTTTTAATTTTTTTTTTTTTTTTTTGAAATTTTTCGCCCCAGTGAATGGCAGTAGTTTTTTCTTTAAAAAAAACCCGCTGTTCAAGAATGTATATAATGTTATACTAGAATACACATAATTGTATACATGAATGTACATAATTATATAACAAAATATACATACTCTTTTTAAAAGATAATACACATAATCTAACATAATACATAATAAACATAAACTTTTAACATAATACACATCAACTCTTAACATAATACACACAAATTTTCTGATTCGGATGTACATAATTGTATAAAAAGAATGTACATAATCGTATAAAAAATGTACATAACTGTATGAGCAAATACACATAACTTTGTGAACAAATACACATAATCCCAGCAACTTCCTACCGCGCAACCCAAAACGATATTGTTTTGGAAGGCGCGCGGCGCACAGTGCTATGTGCGCCGTGGTGTAGGGTATAACGATTGACCGAATAGTGTCATTCTCTGTTATGGGCTAACCACTATGGTTGATTGGTTGATAAAGTTGATTGCTACATCTTTTTCTGAAACCAAGCCAATCTCATAATTCACTTCGATCGATTCGATTCCATTCATTGAAACTATGGATTTCTTCAAATTGATTTTAGCCGATGATCCGGAACCCGAAAATGTTCAAGATTCCAAACAGCATTCCCCTTCCCCATCTAGCCAAAAAGAGGAAAATCGCGAAGAAACTGAGGACGCGGATGGCCCAGATCCGTCAACTACTGCTAGCGGTGCGAGTAGATGGGGGAGTTTCGGAGGTCTCATCAAGACTTTAGCTTCCCGCTCCGAGTCAGTCCTCGAGACTTACCGCTGCGATCTGGAAGAATTCGGGACGGGTCTTAAGAAATACTCGATTAAATGGACGGTAGCCGGATACCAGTGATCGTAGCCCTCCATCTTTATCAAAAATAAATAAATAAATAAATAAAGAATAAAGAAAAAAATGAAATACCATTTTTACCCTTACTTTTAAGGGTCCAAACGTTTAGTTAACGGAGAGGGGAAAAAATAACCACTTTAGAAACAATTGAGGGGATAAAGTAGCTACATAAATAACACAGGGGGAAAATGTACTATAACCAAACAACATAGGGGGAAAAAGTGCCATTTTCCCTTTATTTTTATTTTTTTGAGAATGTAAAACTAATTCATTAAATCATGAATAAGAGTGTTCACAAGGAAAGATGGAGGAGAATCAAACCATTCTCCGCAACCTGACACAGAAAAGGCCTCCCTAGCAACATTATGGGCGGCACTATTCGCAGATCGCTTTACACAGTAGAATTCAACATCTACAATCTCAGAAGCTAAAACTTTAATGTCCTCAATTAAAAAACCAAAACTAGAATTAAAAGACAGTGAACGTAAAGCATTAAAAACGGTTTGACAGTCTGTTTCCACATCAACATCTCCCATTCCAGTAGACTTTATCCAACTCAAAGCCTCCCGTATGTTTAGAGCCTCTGCCTCCTTAGCCATATAAACCCCCGGAATACTATAATTTATTTATTATGCATAATACGTAAGACCACTACGATAGGGTTGCTTTATTTTTCAACTTTTCTTAATATTATTCAATGCAAAATAAATAAGTTTAAAAATAAAAAATAAAACTTTTTTGTACATATTATATTGTCGAAAAAGTTACACTTATAATCCTTCAAGTATTGCTAGTTATGCAATTTAGTTTTTTGTACAGATTATATTGTTGAAAAAGTTGCACTTATAGTCCTTAAGTATTGCTAATTATGCAATTTAGTTTTTTTTTTTTTTTTTTTTTTTTTTCAATAACACCACATATAATATGTTTTGATGCTAAAAGTGGAAAAATAAAAGTTCGTTGCTAATGCTTGCTTATGGTCGGAAAATGAGTGAATAAATGTAAACTTTTAAAATAATTCTTAACTTAACATTTTTCCCTCATGATTTTGGTTAGCAGAAGAACCAAATTTACAACTCTTAAAAATATGAACTAAATCACATAATCAGCAACAATTAAGTGAGCAGAAATATAATTCTCCTAATTAAATTCAAATTTCATTACTAGAAGGTATTAATTACTATTTCATTTAGACTTAGATGTCAATTTCAATCCGCCCCGTGGATATCCACCCCGCATGGATCGTGTTTTTTTGGGTGGTAGTGGGTGGTGGATCTTTAAAAAGTAAACCCACGGTGAGTCGGGTTGGATTCGGGTTCTATGTACAAAACCCGCTTAAAACCCCACCCGACCCACTATTTAGTTATTTATAAAAGTTTGTATAACTTTGTGTAAATTTTTACTATTTTTATATCTAAACTATACTAAGTTTATTTTTAAAATTAACAATTTAGTTATTATATTTAAATATTTCTATTATTTTATGTTTTATATAACTAATGAATTTTATTATTTTATTATGTGTAGGTAATTTAAATATTATTTTAAAAAAATAATATTATTATTATAAGTGGTGGGTACCCGTAGTGGGCACCCGTACGCGATGAGGGTGGGGGTGGGTTTAGAAAAAGTCCACCTGATGCGGGTTGGGGGTGGGGGTGGGGGTGGGTAGAGAAAATATAAGGTGAATCGGGTGATGGATGTAGCCATCCCCGACCCACACTCGACCCATTGTCATGCCTAACTTCAAGATTCACGTAATTATACTAGAATTAGCAACATATTTGGTGTGACACCTCAACCAACTTCCACTTGTGTTTTAAAATTAATGCAATTAGGTAAGACTCAATTCTGTTGGCCTGAAATTTCAATACAGCTGACAGGATAATAGGGTTGGCACCCGACCCAGATCATAAGTGGGCATCTGACCCGGCATCACATGGGAACCAGCTCCGCGTCGACACTCAGATGGACGGCACGTCGATGAACTAGCTCCACGGCAACACATGGAGGAGCGGCAGCCGGCCTCGCGCCAGCACCCTGACGAGTCGGCCCTGGTCGAGAGGCTGCAAAGAAGGATCGAAGAGTTAGCAAGAAGGGTGGAGGCACGGGAGCAGTCGCCGGAACCCGAGGTACGGATGGCAGCATCGTTCTCCCCAAGCATCATGGATGTACCTTTGCCGAGGGACTTTAGGTTGCCCGCCATCAAGGAGTACACGGGGGCCACTGACCCACGTGTCCACATGACGAGGTACAAGGCTGCTATGGTAATGATCGGGGTAGGGGACGCCATCATGTGCCGAGCGTTCTTGTCCACCCTGGATGGAGCGGCCCAAGACTGGTTCAACACCATCCCGGATGGGTCAATCCAAAACTTTGGGGAGTTGTCCAAGAGCTTCCTAGCATACTTCTCCGGTAGCATACAGCGTAAGAAGCCCTTCTCTCACCTCTGTGTAGTGAAGCAAGATAGAGGCGAGAGCCTCAAAGACTTCCTGATAAAATGGAAAAAGGAAGTCAATAATGTATACGAATTCGACTCCAAGGCGGCGATCCCGATATTTATCCATGCCTTAAGATCAGGGTATTTCCATAAACAGCTGAACGCCCACCACCCCCGCTCTTACGAAGATATGATAAGGACGGCTAGCCACTATGCCGAAGCAGAGGACGTCGACAGGAAGAAGAAGGATGAAGAGGATGGTAGGAAAGGTGGGAAGCCTGGGAAAGTGGGTCCGCCCAGCCAGGAATCACTCTCGAACCACCCTACCGCAGGGAAAGGCCGAGACCGCGAACGACCTTGCCTGGTCCCCTTGCGTAATTTAACTCCTCTTACCCATCCCGTCAGTGTCATTCTAAAGCAAGCTGA